GCATGAGTTCATCGTCGAGCTCGATTAACTCCATAGACAGGGGTGGCTCAATATCCGTTATTTTTATCTCCAGCCTCAGCCATATTCCCCACATAAAATTCCAACAATTCCCCAAATTGCCTGCAACCCTTCCCACGAAAAATTGCCCATCCCACGATTATCCAATCGTCGTAAGCAGCGCGTAAACTCCAATAAAAAAAGTGCAATTACGCTTATGCAACTGCCTGCATGCCTCGGAGTATTTGATAAGACCTGATAATTCGTTTCTTTATTGTGCGAAGAGATGTTGAAAGCCAGGGTGCTAATTTATTTGACAGAAAGCTTTCGACTCAGTCAGAAGCATCAATTCATTCATGAATTACTCAACTGGTCGACCATTCTCACTTCAATGAGCATTTGTAGCCCTAACTCCCTCAGAATTAATCACCCAGAAGTGCCTAAGGTGAACTCAAGTGCAATGTGTGTATGAAAACATTGCTTTTCTTGTGGTCTTTGAGCATTCAGCGGTGACAATCCCCTTGATCGATGAGCACGCATGATCATCAAGTCGAATACCTGACCACCCACAATGCTGACTCATTGTTGTTAGTATCCAATTGAGGTTAATTCCATTGATGAACTCACCCTTTTTCAAAGCACTTTCTCTAGAAATTTAGAAGGGACCGCATATGCCAAAAAAAAAGTATATTTCGTAACAAGTGCGGAATAGTGATTTTTATATTGTGCTATACCATGTAGCATGAGCCGAAGGCAAGTGGTATAATCCCACATGTCAAAAACAACTTTCTGCATGAGGTCACAATATTTTTATTCGCAGCGTGCGGGAAAGTCACTTTTTAGGTACGTCAAGCGAACCGGAGCTTGCCTGAAAAGTTACTTTTCCGCACCTCGTGGTGAAAATTATATTTTCTTTAAAAACAACGGTATAGAATCGTTAAGACGCGTTAACTCTATTTGGAAATGATAATCTGTTGTGGCTCGCGCTACAATTTTGAGGCTGTTATCGCGTGAGAGTTTTTGGAAAGTTTTAATCCGTCGTAAAACGGCCCAGATAAAACTTTAGTCGGTACACGAAATTCCTCATGGAGCATATACATAGCGTAATCTATCTGAATTGACTTCAAGACAAGATTTTTCAAAATTTGTCATGCCTGAAAAGCTCAGAGTTTGACTGACTCGTCAGTAATAATAGCGAAGAAACTTCACATGAATGTGTGGTGTTTAAACATTCTAAGGTTTTTCTACGAAATTGTAGGAGTAATTTTTTAACAGTATAATCTTATAGATTAATAATCTGTGATTAATAATCTTACAGATTAATAATCTGTGACAGCAGACACATTGAGTCTCGTATCTCAAATAAAAAGTGATAATGTCGCAGCTACTATTTCCCACCATTTTCCCTAAAAATTGAACCAAAAGCTGTGGAGTAAATGTTTTCCACGACACTAAATTTCCACTGTATCATGAGAATCCCGGAAAAAATATCCCAGGGAAAAAATATCCCACACATTCAAAACGTGTTAAAACTCGCTCAATTTAATTATTTTTTAATTTAATTATTTTTTTCGTTGTCTATTTTTTCAGGGGCTCTAATTTTCCTATGGTCTATCAAATTGGGTGGGGTTTACCACGTTTTGGGTGTGTGGGCTATTTTTTCCGGGGATATTTTTTCCGCCTGCCGTATCATGATCTTCATAATTAACGCGTGCTCGGTGTGTAAAATAATATTCTCAAAGACAATCAGTGTGATATGTGACCTCTGCAGCCAGGTTACCCAAATTCCAAAAATTTCTATATCAAGGAAGGAAGGAAAAGGAAGGAAGGAAAATCTCAAACGGAAAGTGACCACTTAGCAGTTACTCTTTTCAACTATTGGCCATAAAAATTTGAATAAAAACTGGTGACTAAATGTTTTATATAACAAATCATGATTAAATCATGATTTTTATCATTAGTTCGGTCTTGTTAGAAAAAATTATCGAAGGCAATGAGTGTGACATGTGACCTCTGTAACCAGGTGATCTCTGTACCAATGTAAGACCCACTCTAACGCACATCACGTAAACACTGACATAAGACTCTTGAAGCGAATGGAGGCGTTCCCACGCCTCTGTTGTATCTCCATCAGGTTCTCTCTCTCCATCTCACATATCTTAATACCCCCAAAGCGTAAAAAACAACCACCAGTGACATTACACATAACATAGAACATTTAGCGTGTTTTATAGGTTCACGTACACCGTCATGAATGCTACAAGAGGGTAATGGGGTAGCGCCCACGTGAAAAACATGACATATGCATTCCAGTCTGCACACTGTAAGAAAATTACACTTGAAATTTCTAGTGAGAAAACTTGATATTTTTAACAACAACAATGTGACATCAACTTTTTGTTGAATTTTTTAATGATTAATTCGGTGAATACTTGAATATTCTCCTCTGAACTCGCAGATGTTACTCGCAATAATTAAATCTGGTTTTCGATTTATTGACTTTGGCTCGGAGGAAGCGATATAAAAAGATAAAATTGCAGATTTCATATGACCTTGAATTTAGCTTTAAAATTAATTAAAAATCACTCAAAAGTGATGTAGCTTCCCCAAAAATAAATCAATTCGAAAAAAATACTATTTTTTTAAATATATTTTTCGAATACTTTACCAGTGGACACCGGGCAAATTGCTAGTGCTTCTGAAAAAAAAATAAAACGCGCGGTTTTTCTACACAAAAGTTTTAGGTGAGAGTTGTTCATTTTTCAAAATTTTTATGTTAATTGTGGTAATTTCTAAAAGAGTGGAAAAATTTTATTAATGTTTACATTTCGACTGAAACGTTTGAATGCTATCAACGACCAATCATTTCATTCTCCAAATCATACTCCAGAGGACAAGTAAATTTTTTTTTAACATTTTTTAACGTATCATTTATAATTTTTCGTGGGAGTACGATAAATGCAATGATTCGTTTATTGAACGATTAAAAAGTTAATGAAAAATAAATTGAACGCCTAAAAAAAATAATTATTCACCTCCCCTCTGGAGTATGATTTGAATAATCATCATATCATCAAATCATGGGTTCGTATTATTCGATAAAAAAATTGAATTAAAAAAATTACGAATAATAATTTTTTTTTAGTTAATTGACTTGCAAAAATAATGAATAATCAAATCCATGAGAATATGGGACTATAAAAAATAGCTGAAATGAAATTACAGATTCTTTAACGAACAAAATCAGTATTCCTCTTTTGAGTCTATTTCATCGCCAGTTTCTGAAAGCAAACGAATTGATAATCCGCATGTGCGCAAGATAGTGAAACACTTGTCTGATTGTATACCTCCGATACGAAACTTCGACTAAATCTATCGAAAATATTTACAAAGAAAAAAAAAACATCCACTTCTGCGTAAATATTTTTCAAAACAAACCTTTAACAAGGTGAGTAGAACAGAAGTCAGGATTCCTCTCTGTCAGTTTACAAACACTCGTCTTACCACCAGGACATTTATTTCACTCGAGTTGAAGAAGAATCTATGGGTATTGTTGCCTCATGTAGACCCAGTATTCAGTTTCAATAGTCATTTGTGTTGGATAAGGAGTGATCTATTAAAGTGGCGAAGATAGAACTCGGTCAAACTCCATTCTAATCTGATTAGAATGATTTCATTGGTGTGAGGTATCTCCAGTGATTTGAATATTTTTCACGTATTTGTCTTGCGTTTCGTTTTATTGCAAAAAATTTTTATTGGAAATGAGACCTGGAATTTTTATTTCTCTTGCAATTCCATGTATCTATTTCTGCTGTTCACCTGCGGACGATTGAGTGATCACCTTTCGTTCTCTGGGTGGTTTTATTCCTGAAACGTAGTATAATAGCCGGATCCGATGTCGAAGGACGGCGTAGGAGGAATCGTCCGCGAGTCATTTCAATTTTTATGATGATTTTTCTATCTAGTTTCTTAGGTGTTTCTTTCGTTAGGTCACCCACGGCCTTTTTTTTTCGCGGTTCTCAGGTATTGATTGGTATTTCCCCACTTGCATTTGCGCCGCAACTGGGGGTAATTTATGGCTTAGGTGCACTCGGTATTTGATTGGAGCTTTGACTAATTGAAAAATCAGGAAGCGGATTTTTATGGTTGTGGGCGATTTTTTTTTTTCGCGGTATGAGGAGTCACCCACGTGGCGCAGGTCTTGTTTCTTCATGATATAGAATTTTTCAGGAGGGAATGAAGTGATGAGAGACTTGAGGAAATGGGAGATATATCGCCCACGTGGATACCTGTACTCACGAAAATTTATTTTTTGGAGAACGGTGATGAGAATTTTGATAATTTTCAGAATGTTTACGCCCACGTTAAGCTGCCATTTTTTTTAAGGATATCGTAGTATTTCCGCGAAGTGTTCACCGTGGAAATAATTTTCTTTGCTTTTCCATTTGAATTTTCTTCACTTTCGAAGGGGAATATTGCAAGTACAAAAAAGTCGATGAAAATGACTATAAAATAAAATATAAATATGTATAAAAAATAAGTTTTATATTTTATATATTTAAAATAATTTATATGTCTATGTACATACGTATTCATTTACAAAGTCAAATATTTATAGAATTTTTCATTGAAAAATGAATTATAATTCAACTTGAAAAATTCTAGAATCTTCAAGATAAATGAGAAATTTAGTGAGAGTTTTTAATTGAAATTGGATTTAAAATTACTCACTTAAAAACTCGAATGGCTTTATGCCCAAAAATCTAAAAACATTTTCCAGTATATTTAAAATAAAACGAAGTGCGTCGGCTTCTATCCATAATAATATTCTTTAAACCTTTCCAATTTTATTCTCGATGACCGTCGGTAAATATAGTGGGAAAGATATCCTTAAAAACTTTTTGAATTATATTTTTATTAGATGGATCAATATTTATCTTTATTCAAACATGCTGAATCATTCGTGACTGTCAAGAATAAAATGTTTTCCATTCTGTTGCCAGGTGAATAGTGATAATTTAAAAACCTAATCCAGAAGAATCAGAGGGAAAAATGAAGCTGTCCTACACATCAAATCGCTTTCCTCCGACGCAGCACACACGTTATCGAAGCAGCTGGGGCCCATCCTCAGTATCAGCATTTTCACGTGCTGATATACCGCGGCCCTCACCTGAGGAAGAAGAATTTCAGTTCTATCATGAACGCCTCCATTCCGCCCAAAGCCGTCAGCTCATTCCGCTCCAGGAGGATTTGGCCGATTGGATCAACAAGACGATAAGTGAGTGTATGAATTACTCATCCTATATATCTCCGGTCATACATCAAAGTTTTGCCCGGTGAAACTTGGAGGTTTATTTGCACGCGATTTTTGGGTGCAAAACGGGGCCGCAAATTTTGGGTGTAATTTCGCTTGATTTATGGTGCAGATTTTATGACCGCCTGGAAACCATAAAGAAATTTATTCCATTGTGGATTTTTATGTTTTCACTGTTAGGAAAGGAATGAAATTTCAGGGACAGTTGATTATTAATTTTCAGGATAGTGGCACTAAATGCGATTCAAGGATTGAAAATTCAGTAAAATTACAGAATTCCCTAATTAATTTGATTTTATAATCCAATATGACTGTTTAGTGTCAAATTTCCATAATGAAATTGAGAATTCCATTTTTTTTTCGTCTAAATTGCTTTTAGTACCACTGCGAATCAAATTTGAGAACGTGTTTCCCAAAATTCTTTGGTTTTCTGTTCATTTCGAGGAAAAGTGGAACGGAAATTAACAGTTTTGTTTAATTTTTCCACGAAATTCTGAATTTTCAATGCCAAAATCTTCTGAGAATTCAGTGGAATCGTGACACGAAATTTATTAGAAATAAAGGAATTTTTTCCATTGTGGATTTTTATGTTTTCACTGTTAGGAAAAGAATGAAATTTCAGGGACAGTTGATTATTAATTTTTAGGATAGTGGCACTAAATGCGATTCAAGGATTGAAAATTCAGTAAAATTTCAGAATTCCCCAATTAATTTGATTTTATAATCCAATATGACAGTTTAGTGTCAAATTTCCATAATGAAATACAGAATTCCATTTTTTTCTGTCTAAATCGCTTTTAGTACCACTGCGAGTCAAATTCGAGAATGTATTTCCCAGAATTTTTTGGTTTTCTGTTCATTTCGAGGGAAAGTGGAACGGAAATTTATAGTTCTGTTTAATTTTTCCACGAAATTCTGAATTTTCAATGCCAAAATGTTCTGTAAATTCAGTGGAATCGTGACACGATAAAAATTATTCTAGATCATTACAGAAGAATTCTAAATCGATCGGCCAGACGTGATGACAGATTCGCTAAGTGAATAAATTGGTCAAATCAATTCGATCTCAAGAACATTTTTCTAGAGGAATCAATTGATGCTGATATTGATTGATATTGATATCGAATTGATTTATGAAACCGATTTTATAGGTGATATTACGATGATTAATTAATCAGAATTCGTTATAAAATTCATTGAATAACGGCGACACCTTAAGTTAATTGAAAATAAAAATTGCCTGCAATTGCCCACGTAACAACAAGTGTGAGATTGATAAGAATATGAAGAATATGAAGAAATTAATTACAATGAACCCCGCGTCGACGTTCTGCGCCTAAAGAAAAAATTCCCTTCAAAACTATTAAACTCCTGCGAGTTCACCGAAGATATCTCCAAAACTAAAAGCGACAGCAAATTTTTCTAGTAACCTTTTTTGTAGCTTTTGATTATCTCTGCAAAAAAGGTCCTAACAAATATATAGCTAGGTCTCTTAGATTTCGAGATTTTCATTGAAAACTGACCGGTAGTTAAAATCGATTTATCGCGGTTTACAGATTTGCTATTGATTAATTTCTTCGAATCAAAGACTAATTGAATCTCATGGCAAATCCGTAAATTGCCATGAAGATTGAATCGACTCGTGATAAGAAAATGGTGAGAAAATGGCGAGAAAATGGCTGAATCATATCCACCGTGAACGAATGATAAATGAATTGATTTTTTGAGTATTTTACATCATCTCAAGGATTTTATGTCGAACGAAAAAAGGATTTATGTATTCGTGACGTAATCCAGTGCAATTGGTATCAGGCGATCATTTTGGTCGTGTCTACCGTGCCTGGCGTGTTCCATTCACTCTTTTCTCTCATATCCTTCGTTGGTTTTATATCTCCTCTTCGCGTCCCTCTCTTCTACATCATCTCCAAAGCACCGGATAACTCGTTCGCTTCGTGTTTCATTCAATGCACGTCGTGCGCCATTCACTGCGCATCTAATAAACCTTTTCTCTCATTCTAAAAAGCCCCTCGAGGTTCGGGTTTTACATCAATGCCATAGGCCCCTGCAATCATCACACTCTTAGAAAATTACGAAATTGAAATTGAATTTGAAATTTCGAGTGAAAACATTTTAACTTTCATTTTTCATTTGCTCTGTCGTGCCAAATATCCACTCCACAATTTTTATTTCAATTCCTATGGGGAATAGTTGACAAACAGCTGCTAGATGATCATTTTCTGTTTAAGACTCTTCGTTTTGTATTTGACTCAGTAGATTTTGATGAAATTTAAATACATTTCTACCTGTGCAGTCTTTCCAGGAATTCCTTGGGATGCTGCGCAGCCTAAAACCTATCAATCATGTATGAATGAATGAAAAATTGTTGTTTTTCACTGCAATCATTAAATTTGTCCCGAGGATATTTCGGTTTTTGCCAGATGTTAAACCCCAATGGTCTAACGTGAAAACCGCAGCAGTTGAGCCACATAAAAATACAACATGTGTTTAAACGTGGGAAAGGATACTCATAACATTTGTGCATCCGTTTACCATTGCAAGTTTTATTTTAATGGAAGTTCACCTTGTGGAATTATTTTTACTAGCAATTACAACTGAAAAACAGATTGAGGATTTTTTTTCTGGCCATGTTCGGAGGAAATTAATCAATTATGTGACTTTTACGGCAACTTTTACATAAATCCTTTTCCAATTTGAAAATAATGAGTGCAATTTCATGTGGATTTTATGTTTTTTCAAATAGAGATTTTGATACGAATTGGGTCTGAGAGGTTTTAGAGCAATCCGTTTACTAATAAACTAAAACTCAACTAAAGCTCAACTAAAACTTTGACTATCAAAACTTCTCAAAGAGATTGTGTTTGAATATTTTTAGGGAATTTGCAATTTGCACCTTCAAAAAGGTTTTTGCATTCGCCTTCTAGACGAAGACTAAATCTGCTGGGGGATTTCATGTGTCTTTGCTCGTTGTAAAATAAATTTTACACCCCAGGTCCCTTTTTTATACTTTTAAGTCGCTTAGGTGACTTTCGAGGCGTCGTATCGTAAATTGAAATGCTCAGCACATTCAAGACATTTTTGGTATCGCAGATTATCATTGATAGTCAGCAGATGTCTGCAACTATGACAGTTGTGACAGTTATGTCTCAATTTTCGTGATTCAAAATACAAGATAACGACAGTCAGACAAGAAGACAAATCTTGAGTCGAAAATACAGATAGTCATCTCACTTTTGCGTGGAAAATGGTGTTTTTCATTATTATTATAAATGTTATTTTCTACACTTTTGACACATTCAAAACTTCTGCTCATAACATGTTCAATATCTGAATATTAAATCCGGTAATGATGTCACTTATATTTATCGAAATTCCGATAAAATCTTGAATTTTATTTCTTCACTCAGAATTGAATGAATTTGGAGTATAATAGGGGCATAAAACAAGAGTAGATGAACAATTAAGAAAATCACTTTAAAAAATTAATGGAAAATTCGAGATTAACAAAAATTATCTAAAAAATTATATCAAAAAATATATAGATGACAAGTATCTCATAATTTTAACAGTATAGCATTTTTCGGAAATTTTGAAAATTTAAAAAATCAATGAACGAATTGATGTTTAATTATATCGATGACTCGGGCTCATAAATATAAACTTCCATATGGAAAAAAATATAAATTTACATAAGGAAAAAAAATATAATTTAATTTAACGAAAAAACAAGGAAAAAAAATTCTATGTGATTTGAAATCCTGAATAATGAAATTATTCTAGCTCAAAATGGAGTTCTCAAGTATAAAAATTGTCTGTCATCTACAAATTTTTTGGCTGATCCCTGAAAAAGCCGCTTGTGTGTAATTGGACTGCTGGATTTTCATCGAATAAATTTCTTCATTAAAACTCGATTTTTAATCGCACTGATGGCCTTAAGGATTTCTTGTACATTAAAACTCGAAAAGGTGCACCTCAAAGGGTGCAATTAAGTCTCGATATCGTGAGTCAGGGTCTCGTGACTGAGGAATAAACTTTGAGAAAGGAAAAAAAAAGTGACCAGGGAATATGGAAAAAAAGGGTAAAATGAAACAAAGTTGTAATACGAACCGGCTCAGCTGGTAGATAGCCGAGGCCTTGTGGGGCCTCGTAGCTAGTATTGTAGGTGAAACTGTGCTATCGAGTTATTGGGTTACTCGTGAATTCCGGGAAAAAGCTGGTTCATCGATAAAAGCTAGTTCCATTTTTTTTCTCAAGAAATTACCATTATTCGATCATCATTCACTAATTTATTATTTAAATCACGAGAACGAACGCGCGCTACAGCGCGCTGTAATTATAAAAATGACTAAAAATTATCGTGATTAAAAATTGTTAATTTGAATGAGTTCCAAATTCAAATTAGCCGCCTCAGACGACTGAATCAATGAGGAATAAGCGTGACAGACTTTCGAGATATCGATAGTCTCGATGTTTGTCCTTTTTAGAATAGGATTAATTTAAATGAGTTTCAAATTCAAATTAGCCGCCTCAGATGACTGAATCAATGAGGAATAAGCGTGACAGACTTTCGAGATATCGATAGTCTCGATGTTTGTACTTTTTAGAATAGGATTCAAATTAGCCGCCTCAGATGACTGAATCAATGAGGAATAAGCGTGACAGACTTTCGAGATATCGATAGTCTCGATGTTTGTCCTTTTTAGAATAGGAATAGGAGAATAGGAACACTTCAGAATTTCTTATGAAATCTGGAATTTTATTATTTCGTCCACCTAAATTGCATTCAGGATGGTATTTGCCAGAATGTTCTGATTTTCCGGTAATTTTGAGGGGAAAGTGGAACGGAAATTTACAGTTTAGTTCTATTTTCCACGAAATTCTGAATTTTCAATGCCAAGATGTTCTGGAATTTCAATGAAATTACGATAAACATTGCGGGAATTAGG